TGTGTTTCCTCAGGTCTTCATACAACTTAGCGAATTCAGAAATAAATGCCTGAAGATTCATACCCTCTTGACGTTCAAACTTTTCAAATCGACAATATGCCCGATATGCCATGTGAGATGAGTCCTCCTGGTATATACTGTCCAGGCGTTTTATAACTTTGTCCAACCCGTCATCAGCAGTTAAGACGTCTATTCCTAACGATCTCACATGGTTCTTCACCGGTCCCTCAGACAATTCCAAAAGGAATGCAGTTGCCCGACGCTTCTTTTCGTAGGATGTGAAAGTATTCCATAGGTCAATATCCAACCGCCAGTCTTCATAATTCTGACCTTCCTTGTATGCCGGTGGGGCCTTTTGTGGTCCAACAGCTTTCCTTTCTACCACCTTATCTTCACCTGTCATTTTTGAACCGCTGCCTGCTACCAATGTTAAATCAGAGAAGCAATGACACACGTTGATAAGTCAGGAAAGAAGTCAATAGATATACAAAGACCCCACGGCTAACAGAGACATCATATATATAACATACTCCTGAAATATAGGGAGTTAACTCACATTCAAATATAGATACAAACATATAAAATATAATAGGAGAATATCAAGTTCACAACTATCACCTTGGGGTCCTCCATTGGTGCTGATGAATTCAAGGGAGGTAGCGTTGTTGACTCGCACCTTGATCTTGGTGTTGCTCAGGAGGAATCTCACTAGTCTGATCTCATCTCTTGTGCACCCTGCGTCCTCTAGTAGGTTGAGCACAGTCTGCCTACTGATCGTATCGAAGGCACTGGACACGTCTAGGCCCATCTTGTGGAAAGACCACTCTCTTTCTTTTACGATGCTGATCAACATACGGTGACACCATACCAACTTGATTGAATAATCCCTTTCCTCTTTAAAGTTTCTTTGTAGTTTATGTGTCTGTTCTTCTTTGACTTAAAAACCAGCTATCTGCATTCGTTTTCGACTGGTGTCTTAGATCTTAACAAACCTCTTTCTCTCTCTTTCGGTTAAGGTCAACAGTTTCTGACTTCCTACTGTAAGAGGGAAGCCTTCTCGCCGTGCCCACAGCATGCAACTCCTGCTAGCTGCACGCCAGGACTCCCAAAGTATATACGAAATCATAAAATAATAAATATCAATGCAACAGACCCCTGGCCCTGGAGTCTTGAAGCTGTCACTACCTGGCTCAGAGCAAACCCACTTCTGTTGTAGTACTTCTGCGGGCAGACAAGGGTAAAGGATGAAAAATCCTAGGAGGTTACCCAAAAAGGAGGTTACCAAATATCCTCATTCTGAGCGTCATGATCTGGATGCACTTGCAGAGGAGGTGCTGGGATGTTTCTGCTTCTCCTGGAAACTGTTCACAATCTTGCATCTCAAAGTTGACGTTGTTCGCCACGTTCTGAAGTAAACTAGTGGGCTGTGACCTAACCTGACAGCTGCCATGTTAGCCATCTGATGTGAGTTCCAGAAAATTCAAGTTCCTGTATTCATATTTATGGAGGAACATCTCAAGTAGGATTTTCCTTTGTCACTGAGTGTGGCCTAATCTTAACAAACCACTCTTAGAACTTTCTCGTTTATCCAATTGTACGTCCAGTGCCACTTCATATTGCAGCCTGTAATAAAGACCCCAGGGTGCTAGAAACTTTCTAGAACCTCATGTGTGCAGGGGTACGGGCAACGGGCTGGGCAGTACCATGATCACGAATCGAGTCTAAGTTATATTTAGATTCAGGAGTTATAAGTTTATTTGATAGTTGTAAAATGGTTTGTTCCAGCCTTGGTAGGGCTACATCCTGTTCTTTCATGTGAGGAGCTGTCCCTTAAGTCTGAACACTCATGTTGTACATTGTCAATAACATGTCGCTCTTTAAGATGGAGGCAATATATTTCTTCAGTTTATATCTTACACATGTCAGCTCTTCCTTTGAGTTGAAAATGATTCTCTGAGCTGTTCTTCATTTGATATTACTCCAACCATGTCACATTCTCTCCCCTGAACTCTTCCGCTCAGTTCTTAAGTATGTGCCCTATTTCCACATGAAAAGTTGAGTATTATAAGTTGCTCTGCTGCTTCAGATCCAGTCCAAAGTGATCTCCACTTCCAAACAAGATTTATTGCGATATTTCTAGCTACTCAAAGCCATTTAAGAGATATTTAGTGCTGAAAGCGTTTGATTTAAATCTTTGCAGAAGTTGTGGGTAAATAATTTGTATATTATTCCTATGAAACTTAATGATCTCTAAATGGTTATACACCCAGCATTTCATGATGCACTTAAAATTTAAGCGGAGTCATCAGCTTTATTAAGCAACATCTTTAGCTTGCATTCTGTTACATTTTTGAGTTTTGGAATCATATAAGCTCACAAAGATCCAACATCCTAGGAACTTTGGTGTACACTTTTGAATATCTTGTTATTGATTTATTACAGTCCTGTCCTAGTCTCACAGTTTATGTTTAATTAAATATTAGAATTGAATATTATCATAAATTGTTACTACATGCCTATTTTACTTCAGATTATCCAACAACTCTAGCCATTCGGTTACATTGTAAGCAGCCAATCAGTAAGTCAAGTTTGAAGCATAGAAAATGTAAACTTGTGCTTTTCCATACACATCATGCATCCCTTAAAAAGGGGAGTTCAAATGACTGGCAGTAGATGGTAAACACTAAACAGTACTTCGAAATGATAATCGTTAAATTAAAAAGTCATGATTATATTCTGATTTTTTGTACTAATTTTGTGGGTATAACGGTTTTCAGTCAACAAGAAGAAGCTTTTCTTATGATAATATTGTTAATGAGGGACAAGGGCATCATTTTCAGTTACCTCAGCGGTCATTCTTCTATTCAGATCTTTGGACTTATCGATTCACCTGTATTCCTTTACTTCCACTTTTACTACTGCTTCTATTCAGTTGTCTTGTGATAGTTATCCATCACAGTTTCGTATTATTTCTACACTATTATTACCAGTTTTGATCATTTCATAAGATTCTTGTGTTTGCCAGTTAGTAGCAAGTGTTCCAGCTATGGAAAATCCCCAGTCCAAATACCGGAGTCCTCTCACCGACCGCTATGCTTCCGATGAGATGAGCTTTGTCTTTTCAGATCAAAATAAATTTCAAACCTGGAGGAAACTTTGGACCATACTAGCTGAAGCAGAGCAGGAGCTAGGCCTGCAGATAACGGACGAGCAGATCCTTGAGATGAGGAACAATTTAACCAACATAGATTTTAAAAGAGCTGCTGAGGAGGAGAAAGCCAGGAGACACGATGTAATGGCACACGTTCACACTTTTGGTGCAGCTGCTCCAAAAGCAGCTCCTATCATTCATTTAGGTGCTACGAGCTGCTTTGTCGGAGACAACACTGATCTTTTGGTTATGAGAGAGGGATTGAAAATACTGAGTAGAAAGCTTGCTCAATGCTGTGATTCTCTGGCCCAGTTTGCACACCAATATAAGAGCATGCCCCAACTTGGCTACACTCATTTTCAACCAGCTCAATTGACAACTGTAGGGAAAAGAGCGTGTCTCTGGTTGCAGGACATGTTGATTGACTTGAAACAATTACAGTTGACCGAGCAAGGAATGCGGTTTAGGGGTGTAAAGGGGACCACTGGTACTCAAGCTAGTTTTCTGGAGTTGTTCAGTGGTGATCACGACAAAGTGGAGGAGCTTGATCGGTTAGTCACTGAAAAGTCTGGGTTTACATCAAAGTTCACCATCACAGGTCAAACTTACACCAGAAAGATAGATTCTATTATTATCAATGCTGTTGCTGGTATCGGTTCTACTGTTAATAAATTTTGCACTGATCTGAGACTGTTAGCCAGCCTGAAGGAGCTAGAGGAGCCGTTTGGAGCAAAGCAGATAGGAAGCAGTGCAATGCCTTACAAACGGAATCCAATGAGATCAGAGAGGTGCTGCTCGCTTGCACGCCATCTGGTCAGTCTTGTTGCTTCTCCCTTGCATACCCATGCTAACCAGTGGTTTGAACGTACACTGGATGACTCTGCAAACAGAAGAATAGTTTTAGCTGAAGCGTTTCTCACAGCGGATATCTTACTGAACACTGCTCAAAACATCATGGAAGGTATAGTTGTGTACCCTAAGGTTATAGAAAAACACATTCTGGAAGAGCTTCCCTTTATGGCTACAGAAAACCTGTTAATGGGGATGGTGAAGGCTGGGGCTGATCGACAGGAGTGTCATGAGAAATTGAGAATTCTTTCTATTGAGGCTGGGAAACAGGTTAAAGAACTGGGTAACAGTAATGATATGTTGGATAGAATCAGAGATGATGTGTATTTCGCTCCAATTCATGAGCTTTTGTTGGATATCGTTAAACCTTCTAATTTTATTGGCAGAGCTCCTCAGCAAGTCGAGAAGTTCATTAAAGAAGAAGTTTTACCGGAAATTGAAAGTTATAGACTATCCTTTAATAAAGAGGCTCCTAAATTAAACGTGTAATTTCGCGTAGTTATCGTAGTTTTAGTGGGTATGTAAAATGTATATTGTTAATTTTCCGTTGATTTCTTGTGGGCTTTTTGTGCTATTCCCTCGTCTATTTGGAATTTGGTATTCTTCGTTAGCACATTTATATTAGATTAATACACATATATGCACTCTAGCACTCGGATAAATTTGTGTTGCCATGCTGTTTTATATAAGATTTGTATTTCAAGTTTATACTGTTTAGTGATGAATCATTGTTTATAGCTGAATTGATGAATATAAGTGATTTTTATAACTGTTGAATATTTATCTCCTCACGTTTTGATTGACTAAAAACGACATGCTATATGCGTTGTTGCTACTATTTGTTTTACGTTCACATCTGCTTGAATGTCCATGCTGAATATGTAATTATGTTACTAATTATATAATCATGTACTTATTCTATAATTTCACTATATTATATACTTTTAAACAACCGAACTGAACTAACCCACTTTTAATAGCTTACCTCGTTAATAGCTAGGGGTTATAGTGTTATGTCAGTACACGCAGGTTCTGAGCCATTCAATAGTGCCCTACTTCGTGCAAAAGAGGTATGTGTTCTTTACTTTTACTTATGCCTTTTTCTTAGTTTAACGATGTTTTTTCGTTGTTGAGTTGTAATAGAGAGAAATATCGCAATTGCTGTTTCATTTGTAATTGTTCGCTGAACTCAAAACGTTGTGAATATAAACAGTTTCTTTTAAACCCTATTCAATCATTTATTTCACCGCAGATCGCTGCTAAACTACAAAGCTCAAAAGAATTGAACGGTGAGTACGAAGACGGTAAGTACACACCGCCTGTTGTAAATACCTGCGTAACAGCCGCAACTCTTATACATTTCAAGTTGTGTTTGCAACTCTTATACATTTCAAGTTGTTTTTGCAACTCTTATACATTTCAAGTTTCCGGTTTCGTTTCTGTTTTGATACCAAACTTTGTACGATCCACCTCAGTTGTGAGTGTAAATACGGATGGAACTTAAATTTCAAGTTGATAACTTTTATAAATATTCATGACATCATCTCGTGTGTAATCTTGCTACATTGATAAGGATACCTAATCTAGTGAAAGTTATGCAGATATTTAATCTAATCATAATATAATAGATTAAATCATCATTTGATTAACAGTTATGTGTTTCAGGCTCACAAGACTTTGATTCCAGAAAGAGGAGTTTTAACGGTAAGGCCGGCGTATTCAACACACTAACTGTGTTGGATTTGTCAATCAGTTTGCATGAATTTTGGATAAAGTATTCCGTTTTTCTGAGGAAACAGTTCCTAGACAGAATGAATGGTCGGAGCGTTCAGATAGACGCTTATTGCTAGTAAAGTTACCTTGTTGAGAGTACATCATTCGGTCATTTTAGTGTCGCGTTTTTGCGCGCGCGCAGTCACATGGCGCTTAGGCGCAGTTTCCAGAGCTTTGTTCTACCTTCGAAGGCTCAATAGAAGTTGGAACTTCTTGTCCATAAACGGGGTGCTAGCCTCTGTACCCTAAATTACCGTGTACAACATTAAACGTACTCCTTTATCTCATTGCATTATGACCGGCAACCTTGATATTTGTCTCAGCCCTCAAATTTAACCCGCTCTTTCTTTTGTCCCGCGCATTTTTTCTTTTCTGGACTGTTCTATGGTATCTGGAAATGCATGGGAACCCCCTGATCGCACGGCGATACTAAACCGACTTCCCCCAGGGGAGGAACCAGTCAGCAAACGACCAATGATGATGGACGGTGGTAAGTGAAATATTTGCTCCCGATAACATTATTTGACTGTTCTTAACCTTGCCTTTCTTTGAAATTCTGTGAGTGAATGAGAGATTCGTACATAGCGGGACAACCGATGACACCGTAATATTGTTGGTGAAGTTTCGACTGCGAGATAATTGTGTTAAAACTTGTGTTCCATAGTACCACTGTTTGTTCGCCTTCTATTGACATACATTTCGGAATGTCGTCGAAACTTAAAACGACGTTCCTCTGAAGCACTGTCAACATGATTCGCGGAAGTGTGACGTCACGTGACTTGTAACGTGACCGCGTGTGTGATGTCACATGCCTCTGCGTGACAAGTTAAGCCCGTACTACAAGTTCATGTAACCCGAGATCCAGTGGTGTTGACAACTAATGTCTACTCTCATTTTACACCCTTTTTAATTTACCCTACCGTGTAGCGTTGCACTTGTTCTTTTTGCTGGCCGTGTACATCTTACAATACCCGCCCCATATTGCTCCCGATTAAATTGCCCAGCAATCCTCCTTTGTCAGCAATAGTCAGAAAGTGGGTGTGCACAGCTGAGCGTTTGTAGGAATTCACTAATTCCGATGCTTGCTTCAGGTGGTTACATGAATCAGACTAGCGGGTATGTTATTTGTATAAGACTCCTTTCCTTTTGGGCGATCGCTGTATAATTTTACATTTTAACTGATCGTTACGCTTTCAATGATTATGATCCAATATGCCGATTTCCTAAGTTTAAATATTGAAAAGGCTAAAGTGTACCCGTTTTCTTAAGGACTTGGTAGTGGTTTGTGGTTCTGTAACAAATCAAATCTTAGTGGACAAGGGAATCTGAAGGACGAGATAAGAGTGTCAGGATCCGTGATACAGTACCTCTCTGGCGAGACCCTCGGCAGATTGCAGGCTCAAACCGGCTGTCACGTCCAGATCCCGCCCTCAGGCCCCGACCCTACTGCTGAACGATCCATCACATTAACTGGTCAGTTAAGTTCACCCCACCTTTCTTCTGTGAAACCCCTAAGTTCCTAATTCACCCGTTGTTAAAATGAAAAGAAATGTTAGAATATGAGCTTTTAGCTGGGAGATTTAATTTGATTATCTGAGTGACGTTACTTGGTGTGACGGAAATATTTGTAGTCTTTGTTTTCCCTCTCGGAGGTACACCCGCATTCCTGGTTTTACACTCGAGCTATATAAATTGTTATTATATAATCTATATCCTGATTGCACACTGGTCGGTAATTTCATCGGAGGACCAGTCTATATAGTTGTAGTGTAGCCGCGAGTTGTATTGATAAGGCCTGTAATTATAGCCGGTGTGGGAGTGTGCAGAATGGTTAGTTGTGCAGTTGTGTGTGTGCACCTTGTCGTTTCTCTTTTCGATGGTAGTTTCTAGGAAGTCTCAGTGGGAACATGTTTGAGATACCTTATAAAAACGCGGCAGTGTCATCAGTTGTATTCGCTCCACACATTGTATGTGGAATGTAATTTATACGGGGTTGCGGAATTCAGCCTTGCTGCTTTCCGTTAAGCAGTGTTGCTGAGTGATGCTGTCAGATTTCTGGTTTTTGTACTTCGTGCACTTTAGTTTGACCATTCCAACTGTCCGATATTGTTTAGAGATAGTTCTCGTTCAAAATTGGTTAGAAAACTAGCTAGTGATGAGTCCCAGAAAATGAATCTTGATTTTTCCGGCTTTTGTGTAATCTTGCTATTTGTTTGACAGGTAACAGGCAATGTATTGAGCACTGCAAGGAACAGATAAAAGACATAATTCACCAGTACGCGCCCCAGACTCCAATTGGAGGTATCCCCGGAACGGGCGGTAAGTTTAAATATTTTTATAACTTTTAATAAATCAATTAAAAAGTCTTGCAATTTAGCTGAAAAATCCGTCGACAATTTTCGGAACTAACTTTTAAAGATATCTATCAATCTATTTTCACTAGATACTAATTCCTCCTGATTGGGGGTCGTTCACATATTACGTAATCAGCCGAGTGGGGAGGGGTTCCCAAATGATTACTGTGGGGGGATTTGGTTGTTGATTACGTAATCAACATTTTCCTTTTTACCCTCTAGAATAATAACAATATGACAGTATTTTAATTAAAATTCCACTAAATTTCACTCTGATAGTGATACAATTTAGGTATGGATCGGGTATCCGGCTGCTAAAGTAAGTAGTTGGGAAGGTGCTTGGCCGGATATCGTAACAATGATTTCGGCTCATAATGATCAGGGTAGCATGAAAAGGTCTTGATTACGGAGGGGGGTAAAAATTGCTAAAATATTGATTACGTAATATGTGAACGACCCCTTGCATCGGCTTAAGTTTTATTAATTTCCTTAAGCTGAAAATTGTCGATAAACAATTATTGATAATTGATAAATACTACACATTATTCGATTAATTTGATTAGTCGGCCTCGTCGTTAAAATAAAGTTACTTTAAAAATTTTTCAACAATATTGAGAGGCATAATAAGCATAATTACAGATCTCACTCTCAAACCATGTATGACATCTTCGGATAAACCATTGTCGCATCCTGGAGGCAGAAAAAGTCTTGTAAATCAATTAATTAGTAGAATGAATGGTCACATCACCTCAACATGCCCAAAACCTAGATTTTATGTGGAATTAATTCCTTAATCAGGAGGAATTAGTTTTAATACTTTCAACACTACTATATAACAAATAATTCGAGGAGGTTCTCTAAAGATGATATTTTATTCGAAGAATTCAAGAGCCTAAACTGTGTATGATTCGCCAAACAAATCTTAAGTTAGATTTTATGTGCTCTACTTACTTAAATGTTTAGGCCAAACCCCCCTTAATTAATACGGTGGTAAATACCCTAAATACTTCTCTATATAGCAAAAGGGTAGCAAAACATCTGCATCTGTCACTCACGCTCAGTGCAAGTTTCGCTCCAAGATAAACTGTTCTAACAGTTCCATCCTAGCTAAACTGTTTTCAAATCATGTCACCCTTTGATAACCAACGAAACTTGTCGGTTATCTCTGTTCAATATCCTGCAACGTTTTTGTTGAGTATGAAATAGGTATAATATTGAACAGTCTTTTACTAACGTTATTGTTAATGCTCATTTATCAGTTCTTAAATTACCTGCCCGCTAGCACTTAGAAGTCGTTCCATTTACTGAGAGTTACTCATGTACCTCTATTAATAGAGCTCTTTGAGGTCAACCGTTTTTGAAATCGTTTCATATATGTTGCATTGGTTGTACCTTGGAGTAAGGACAGTAGGACACGTTTTTACTACTGTTCATCGCCTTTAACATTCTTTTTAATTTTAAGCGTGTGTGAATTAAACAGCATTCTCCTCTGCAGTCCCGCCTGTCTTTACAGATCCTACTTGAGTTTAACTTTTCTATCGAAATCTCTCAAATCGATCAATTACATACAGGTTTACACAATTATAATAAAATGGAGCGGAATCCAAAGAATTAAATACTTAAAGTCTCTTGTAAGCAATCAAAAGATCCGAGGGTCACCGCACAGATATCGAGTGCAAAAACGACTCACGTACAAGCATGGACCCTGAGAAATTTGCATAATTTATTTGGTAGTTCTAGGGCCTTTAATCGTTGGTTGGTGCTGTCATAACAGGTTGCATGCTTCTAAAGTTTTAACCAAAATCATATGCTCGACATTCTTATTCCGCATGATGGCGCCTAAATAGCAACAATACTGAGAATTATGCCGTATATCGTTATTAGTTCGCAGAAATGGTGCGACACAGTGCTTGACCCTGTAATATTGTAAGAGTTGTTTGGAAGCACCTTGACTCTCGGCATCTATATTTTAAAGGACAATTGAAACACGGCAAATAAATGATGTAGGGATATGAACGACGTGTCGGTAAACAGGTTGGCCTGCTATTTAATCTTGATAAAAGAGATTGAAGTTGAAAGCTTTGATGCTCCCAACAGCATGTGACGACCAACAAGTTATTTGATAGCTTTTGAAACGAGCAACCTGTCGTATCACTTACATTTTCCCAGAAATAAAACCCCGCATGTTCTTGCTCCAGTTTTACATGTAAGTGCTTCTTTAAAGCCAGCTTTTGAGCGGTCAATTGTGTCGTATGTTGGAGGGAAGATAGACTGGCTACCCAATCATGATGATGATAACTGTCAATACTGGAAGCTTTTAGAAATGAAAATGTTCCCAATTATAAGAACAGGCTCACCCATTACAGCAATTATGCGGTTAGCTTTGTCAAAAAATAACAATAACCTATTGGTACAAACTAATGAGTTGATTAACCTAATTATTTGATACATTTTACTTATCAAAGGGTCCTAGTTATTCCTATTGAGTGGTGATAAAAACCTGGTATAATGTTGGTAGTGATTCTGATGCTTTGAGCACATAAAGTGCTCCGGTTATTACTTCCCGAGCATATTTTGAACCGTACAAGTTACTGAATACATGATATTATCGTTAATGCAATGTATCTGTCGTTCTCGAGCAGGGACAAAAGGATTTCGCGGTTATTTTGGCCATACCGCGAATTAAATTTCCGAATTTCGCGGTATATTAAACTATACATAAAATTTGTCGCAAATAATGGGAAAAATAGCGATTCCGTACATGCCGCGATTTCATTTTGTCCCTGTTCTCGAGCGTGTTGAAACTTCTAAATTAAGTTTTTTGCTGTAATGCGATTATCTGAGACTTCACAAAACTGATATAAAGTGATCTGATTATTAGGGCCCCTTATTAAAGGCGCCCGGCGTCGTCATTTGTTATTTATGAGTTTCTACATATTTGCCAAAAATATCGAAATGATTCGACGTTAGTGTTATATTAAGGTTTTGTAGTTTTGTCTGGCACAACGAAAGTTATATGGATCGATATTTGACATAATGTACATTGATCAATTGTGGGCTGTGGCCTACTGTCATTGTCCTGAATGTCTCTGGAATGGACTTGTAGTACGTGGCTGGTTTCGCGGAAATTTAAACCACAATTTTGGACGGTCAATCACTTGCTGTTTAAAGTAAGAACTTCATGTTGTTTTAACTTAATGCAGATCCTCCAGGCCCAGAGATGATGCAGCAGATGGGCCAAGTCGAGACAGTCGACATGCTCATTCCTCAAGACAAAGTTGGTCTCGTTATCGGTGAGAAAACTCTACTGCTAAGATTGTTCCTCTCTCAAGTTAATGCTTCTGTGCTTTAATCATTACATCATTATGATGTAATAGCACTGAATGCTCAATTATATTTACTGTTAATTGATAGCTTGTACTATTCAATGAGTGTAATCCCTAAATTAATCGATTCAACATTGCAGGACGTGGCGGTGAGACGATAAAGGATTTGGCAGTTCAGAGCGGCTGTAAAATGAACATGGTTCAGGATGGCATGTACGCAAACGCCCCAGAAAAACCACTCCGCATGCACGGTACTCCTTTCCAGATCCAGAAAGCTAGAGAACTGGTTAGCGGAATTATCCAGCAACAACAGGTTCGTGGAATTCTCGGTTTTCAATTGAAAATATACCCCAAAAATTCGAATGTTGGATCATACATTGTGTTGATTGGCAGCCAATCAACACATTGTCCTCAGAATGGCCGTATTCTTCGACATTTGTTTCATTAAAGCCTTGGTGAATGTCCTGATCCTTGTGATGTTTCTATCACCACCTCAGGATTATAACAAGAAATAACACTGCAATATATTTTGTAAAATTAAGACCTCACTTTCCTGCAGTACCACAATAGAAATAACTACGGAGGACAAGGAGGCGGTCAAGGAGGCGGTGGTGGTGGTGGTGGAGGTGGTAACTTCAACCAAAACCAGGGACCCTTCGAGGCTACTTCGAACTTTGCTGTCGGCAAGGAATACGTCGGTATTGTCATTGGTCGGGGTGGAGACACGATCAAGAGGCTTCAGTCCGAAACTGGAGCTAAGGTCCAGTTCAACACCATCGACCCTGGCGCACCAGGAGACAGATACCTTGTTATTCAGGGAACTAAAGAGCAGGTCGCCGAGGTTGAAGGTAAATTACTATCTTTATTAAAATTCTTCTGTTTAATTCTAGCTGTTATGTTGTGAAGAGTGGAATTATGATGTCGAAATTAGATTTCACACTTTTCTGTTATCACGTGATAATATTTTTGTAACTACCAAGACCATCTCAGGTCGAGTGAAGGACCTCCTGACGAAAGTTCAACAGAAGGACAACAGAGGTGCTGGTAGCATGCAGGACGTGTTTAACGTTCCCGCTAACAAATGCGGCCTGGTTATTGGAAAGGTATGTTTTACTGTCCCCGGCTCCTTTAAATTCAACTAAAATTTATCGGTTAAAACTGAATCAAACAATGATCATGAGTTGAGAAGATTTTTGTAACTTGTTTATTCATCCTCAATCCCCTCTTAATGTATAGATTCGGACTTGTAACTTCATCTGTAAATATTAAAAACTTTGTAAATTATCAGAAAGGAGAGACGATAAACCGTATGAAGGAGCAAACTGGAGCTCACATTGAGATGAATAAGAACTCTCCTCATGATGCCCCTACCAAACAGTTCTTCATTAAGGGAACCCCTGAACAGATCAAGGCTGCTAAAGATGAGATCGCTAAAATTGTCGGCGATGGAAGTTAGTTTTAATTTTTTATTTAATTCTATATTCCTATTCTCTGTACGTAACTTGGGTAACTTGCATCGCAGGCCTGTGATATCTGAAATCTTGCCACTGTCTTGCCGGTCTTCAGTTCTGTTGGAGTATTTTGTGTTTTTCTGATCACTCTATGCTATGTGCTATTCCTGCAGATCCATACGGTGGCGGTGGTGGTGGTGGTGGTGGTTACGGCGGAGGATACCCGCAACAGGGAGGATTCCCTCAGCAGGGTGGTGGTGGTGGCGGATACAACCCCGCTATGATGCCTCCTGGTCAGGATCCTGCAGGTAATTAACTCTAATGAGAATTGAAATTGTAATTTAAGTTAAATTAATAATTTTATTTTTCGAATGAGTTGCCTGTTTTCAAAAACTCAGTCTGCTTTATTTGAACTCAAAAGTTTTAAATCTTTTTCTAAATTGGCGGCATATGGGGGGGGGGGGGGGGGGGGGGGTTTGGAATTTCGGTGAAAATGAAGCAAAAATTGGAAAATTACAACATTTTACCAACAAATTTAAGTTGTTATTTGTATTAGTGGTCGCTCACATATTATCGCTCCGAGATTTTGGCGGACGTCCTAAGTAGATGGCCCATTTGACAATTCCCAATTTTCAGCGCTAGCGTATCAGCAGCAGATGGCTTATTACTCCCAGTACTCTCAATACTACCAACAACAGCAACCCGCCGCTGCTCCCGCAGTGTCCCAACCTGCTCCAGTCTCGCAACCCGCCGCTGCTCCCGCAGCCGCGCCCGCACAAGCCGGCCAAAGTTTGTCTTTCACTTGTTTAGAGGGTATTTTTGGGAAGGTAATGGGATGAGGGGGCTACTTTTGGCGGGAGATTTGTTGTTTTTCTAACCTTCTTTCAGAGCGATCCGCCGAGACAAGTAAGTAAAAATAGAAATGGGGTGTTAAAATTTGGAAAAATTTGATAAATTGGTCTTAGATATACTCAGAAATTATGATATTGTATTCTCTGAAAAGCACATTTTACGATTACAATATGGTGTTATAAATTCACATTTCGAAAATTGTTTACATTCCTCCCATAATATGATAAATTGATAAAATGTATCTATCATCAAGAAACTGTTGCCTCGGTATAAATATTAAATTCATTACAATTACATTCCATAATTTGCATTGATAAATTGTTTTTGCATGCTTGTGGTTAAATATAAAGTTGTGCTACTATAACTGGTTCGCACAGGATTCTGTGCTTATAATTGCTGTGTCAACAAAAATTTGACTGCAAGTATTGCTATCCATATTTTGATAATATCCATTTGTAAAATGCAATTATAATAATTTTAAAACTGGTTAATTTTCAAAAATTATGTCTTCATCCAATTAAATGTGACTCCCATTCTTCTGTTTATTGGGCACATTTGTATATAATGTTGATGATTTATCTCAATTGAAGGTGTTCACAGAACCCTCCGATAAAATGGAAATTAATTAGGCGCATTATTCAAATACTGGTCCCTTTTGATAATTATTTATTTGAAAAGACATTCGTTAGTTTGTACTTGTAAAAACTCCACCCATCTGCAATGATTTACAGTATATTTTGAACATTTGTGCCTATTGCCCGCCACTCACATTGCTATGATATTTGCTGCCATTCTAATCATCAAATCCTGTATCATAATGTTATCAGTGTGTATGTTCTTTGAAGGACTGACATATTTTATTTTATATCAGAATTAATTGTTTCATCTCATTGGGGTAATATGCGCATGCTATTCCTACTTCTAAATGGACAAATCCTTGGGCGAGTGGACAGTGAACATTTGTGATAATGTACTTGGGTTTTGTTGGGTATTATTGATGATGTTTGCCAAAAATACTGCTCTAGATTTCTATATTCTCAATACCACATTCCATTCCTTATTCTGTTCCCTCATGATATTAAATGATGTTTAATACTAATAGATGATAGCTATGATATTGATTTCGTATTGCATTCAGCCTGTGTCCGAGAGAAGTGCCAAGGTGGACGTAGCTCACTCAGGCCAGCAGTGTCTACCATGACCAATCTCACGATCCCAAATCTCATTTATTCGCTTTTTTCAAATTTAGATTGATACAAAATTGCGTTCTGTATGATAATATGTATATTACCTCTTCATTAAACCAAAATGTATCCAATATTCCAATAAACATTGTATATAATTTGAACCATTTTGAATTGCGTGTGATACAAATTGGAATTGATTGCTATTATAAAATGATCTCTCAAATACAATATCATCTGTTAAGGTAATCAGCGAAATCACGTGCCCGGTTAAGTAAATGCCCCCCTCGACTTCTGGTGAGTCGTTCCTGCTAATAAATAATGATGATATAACCTTGAGCTGTTGAGTGTATCTCGTTTCTGATAATAATAATAATACATTTTTTGGTACATTGCATTTTCTATTTATTTTACAATGTATACTTTCTAGATTGTATTTTGCATTTTATCGAGCTCAAAGCACAAATTAGTTAGATTTGCAGTATTTGTTTTATGAGAAATGGTATCTTATCAATCATTATAAATATCATTTGAGCCTGCAATATGATTAATGTCCATTAGCAACGGCCTTAGAAATTGTATTCAAAAGTGGATAAATCACCCTAAAAATAGCCTTTTCACTGATCAACGCAATAAGATTTGAACCAACATCATGCAACTTGGACAGAGAAAATTTTAGATGATACATATGATAAGATTGAAGAAAATCCAAACTTCTCACATTAAACTAAATGAATCCGGCAATAATTCTGCATAACCATGATGGAAAATTTTGAAGAATGAACTGAAATATAAAATTTGTGAAAATGTGAAGCTAACGTGATCTAGTAACACGCCCAAGCTAACAACTTTTCCCCCACCAGGCGTTCAACAACAGTGGGCTGCTTACTACCAGCAGTTGGTTCAGATGTACGGTGAACAACAGGCCCAGGTTTACTGGACTCAGCTAAGTCAGCAGCAACAACAGCAGGGAGCCGCCCCTCAGTAGTTACAAGGTTTATATCTCACTTGTGTGTTCAGTTAATGATTTTCTGTTAAAATTATCCCTCTTAAATTCAAAATTAAAAACTCTCTGGGAACTCTCCTTTTTTTTATTTACTGTACACCTTGGACCATCAATTCTTTTTTCGTTTAACTTGACACTTTTTGCATTTCAGGCTGTTGAAGTGTTATATGAAAGATCCAGTGCTTGGTTTTATAAGTGGAGCACTAAGGTAAAGAGGACTGCCAACTCTTGACCCCGAAAATTTGGACGCTTGACGGCTTTCTTGTGCCAGACCATATTTTTAATCGTTCAAATATTCAAATCTCTGTTTTTAACGACTTATTTTTGAGCCGCACCCTAATTTGAATCTTCCTCTTTTGGCAATATGTTTTTGGTTAAGAAAACTGTTTAACGCTAGGAGAGTTGAATTTGTCTTGAAATTTTAATTTGTCAGTCCATCTGTAGATTCCAATGTTATAACTTATAGCCAGCTATTTTTGTTATTCTATTTTAAGAAAATCTTTTATTTTGTGGTATAATTAGATGCTCTTCAGCTCCAGCAAAGAAATCTGTTTCCTTCAATTCGCTCTTAAAGTTAACAGGTGCAAAAAGAATGGGTTCGAGAAATTGAAAACTGTTATACACAATACAATATGCCGCCACCTGTCTGGAAACAAATTTGTATTTGTTACTGGAGACGATGCAAATAATTGAATGTGGAGGCATACACCAGCATTTCGAAACCCCTGGCGGAGGTTTGCAGTTTAATTGCAAATTGTGAACCATGCCATGCACTTTCTGCTTTTATTTCGAAATCGGCTCATACTTAGGGGTAGTTCAAATATTACGTATGGGGCCATCTACTCAGGACGTCCGCCAAATTTTCAGACCACCCACTCCCTGTCCGGGTGTGTCCGAATTCTCAAAATCTCCCCCGGATTTCCAGCTACTTTGAAGAGTACAAATAAAACTAACTCAAATTCATCGTTAATAATAATAAAATGTGTAGTTACTTAAAATAGACAATAATACATTTAGTGTCTAACAAGTTAAGCACAGTTACAATTAAGTACGTTAATAGCCATCCAATCGAATAAGTTTTAAGGCAAGCGGAGAATATGCGAGTTGTGTCTCGGCCCTCATGAGCTGCGCTCGTTCAAAATACAGGGATGTAAACTTACAAAGTAATAGTGTCAAAGAGTTAAAATAAATGGGACTTTTTCGTTAATTCTGCCAAAATGTCCGGATTTTCAGAAACCTTCCCCTGTCCGGATTCGTCCGAAATTCCAAAACCACCCCCCCCCCCCCCCCTCCGTAATACTATTTGCTGGACGTCCTTTAACGGGTGATACTCGTAAAATATCTGTTCCGTATATTGGACCGTCGACGACTCCAACTCTGAACTCGGCGCGCGTCCTGGTAGGTTGTAAACCTACAAGACGTCCTGAGTATATGGCCCCTAATAAAACCACTTTTTGAGCAATTTTACCTCCTTGATTCACGATGTCAATCCTTCGCAGCTCAGTGAGGCACAGTGGTGCATCTCGCCGATGGCACAGTGGTGCATCTCGCATCTCTGTGGTTGCGAGAAGCATTATTGGATGCGCGCGCGCGACCCAGTAGTGCATCGCGCTACAACTCCCTCCGTAATCAGTTTTACACACAGCTACTGTGTCGAAATTACACTAGCTTAATCATTTGGAAACCCCCTCGGCTTACTTACTTGGGTTACTTGGGTTGGGTTCCGAGCTAGAGTGCTACCAGGCCAAGAATGTCTTGCATCTCCACCGCCATGTAGTAGCGTGTCAGAGACACGTGCCACCGGCCCACTCCAGCATTGAGTTCCTGTTCTGTCCAGTGTACCCAGGTGTTGGTGGAGTGTCAGGGAATTCATTGAGGAAAGCATCAAGAGCGGGTTTGAAAGTGGTCAAGGTCAGGAGGGACTTGATGGCGGGAGGGACCACGTTGTACAGTGCAGAGGCTCTAGAGGCAAAGGAGTTGAACCTCAGGTTATTGACACTTGTGTACTTGGAGGACCCTAGTGGTCGTATACACGTAGTTCCGTATCGTGAGGTCTCGCGGAAGTTGATGTTCATGCTGTTTGGAGCGGTTCAAGTCCGGTAGTTTGCCGTGTTGTAGAAGCTGGAACTTTTCCTTGTTAAGCTCCATGTTGTTAGCATCAGCCCAATTCACAACCGAGAGAAGATCTTCTTGGAGAAGGATGCGATCGATATGGGAAGATATATCTTTGTGGAGCTTCGAGTCATCTGCAAACACTTTGATCTTGCTGTGCTTGACTACGGAGAAGATGTCGTCAATGTAGATGAGGAAGAGAAGGGGACCTAGGACAGTACCCTGAGGAACCCCACTGATGACGTCGATGATCGTGGACATGACCCCATCCACGATAACATGCTGCTTTCTGCCAGTAAGAAAGCTGGCTATCCAGTCGTAGAGCTTACCACGGATACCAAAGGCCTGAATCTTCTTGAGGAGTATCTTGTGGTCAACCTTATCAAAGGCTTTGCTGAAGTCGAGGTAGAGCACGTCAGCATTTTTGTCGAGGTTGAGATCGCAGATTATATCCGCGATGTGATGGAGAAGCTGGGTGAGGCAGTTCTTGCCTTTTTGGAAACCGTGCTGATCAGGGTTGAACATATTGTTGCGTTCAAGGAAGCTGACCATCTGGTTGCGCATGATGCGTTCATTAACGGGTGATACTCGTAAAATATCTGTTCCATATATATTCCAGGACCGTCGACGAGTCCAACTCGGCGCGCGTCCTGGTAGGTTGTAAACCTACAATGCGTTCACAGAGTTTGATGAGGTGAGAAGTCAGTGAAACCGGCCTGTAGTTAGCGGCTACAGCCTTGCTCCCCTTCTTGAAGATAGGGATGATACTCTGGGAGCGGAACATCTCAGCGATGTCCGAAGTATCAAAAGATAGCTGCCAGAGCGTGGCTATAGTGGGAGCTAGAGCGTCCTTGCATTCCTGCAAGATGAGAGCAGGGAACTTGTCTGGTCCTGGAGCGGAGAACCTCCCTGTTTCCTTGATAGCACTAAGGACGTCGTCAACCGAGAAGGTGATGTCGGAGAGTTCTTCTGTATGCCCTTTTTCGTCAGGGGTGTTATCGGGGTTGACGTTTTCAGGGTTACTGAAGGCTTTCTGGTACTGCTTCTGGAGGATGTTGCCCATAACAGTGGGATCGCACTGCAGGTTGTTAGCATCATCGGCGAGAGGTCCAACAGGCGCCTTGAACTTAGCCGATTTCTTAGCGTAAGAATAAAACGCCTTGGGATTGATCTTCATCTTAGCTAGCGCAGCAATTTCCTGTCGGAGCCGTTCTTGTTTGATGTCTTCCTTCATAAGAATTTCGATGTTAGCACGTTCGTTGTTGAGGTTATCGAGTTTAGTGCTGTTCCGTGGAGTTCTAACACCATGCTTTATAGCATTGATCCTGGCATTAAGGCGGCGCTTCTTACGAATAAGTTCCCTTCTGGGCTTGGGAATGGAGGATTGTGAGGACAATTGGATGTTAGTGCTGTGCGAGGGAGCGTGCTTAGAGCATATGAACGCTACCTTGTCTTCAAACAATGTCCAAGCTGTATCCTGATCGTTGCTTGGGTCAGTGATAGAAGCCCAGTCTACTTCTAGCAGTTCTGCATTAATAGCATCCCAGTCTGCAGAGTTTAAGTTAATGTCATCAAGGAGGCAGGAGGGGGTGAAGACTGGCCGTTCCTGAGTCTGCGAGGGGAGGAGGAGTTCAGGATTGAGGAGAGTGCAGCTCACAATGTCATGATCTGATAACTCTGTCTTGGTAACAGAGATACTATGGATCGAGTCAGAGTCGTTTGAGAAAACGAGATCTAAGATGTTGCTCTTGCGAGTTGGCTCGAAGACCTCTTGTTGGAGCAGGCATTCTTCATTGAAGTTCAGAAGTGCTAGGGCTGATTGACGGTCTGAAAGGGAGATACTGCATCCTGTGTCGATAGAAGAATTCGTCCAGTTGATGAAGGGTAGGTTGAAATCTCCTGTAATGTGCAGTACAGGGGTGCGTTGAATTCCGTTGATGAACTGTTGGAGGGTAGAGAGGCATTCATCAAACTTGTCAAAAGGAGCTGAAGGGGGCCGGTAAATGCCCGCTATCACGATGTTAGCTTCTTTACTGTAGATGGCGACGAGTTCACAGTATGCAGTAGGAGTTTGAGAAGGACTTTGTTTCTTCTACTGTGATGGAGTTATGGAGATAGGTAGCGGCTCCACCACAAGCTCGACTGGTACGATCCGCTCGGTAGCAGGTATAACCTGGGATGTGAACCTCCGCATCTAAGTGATAGGACTTGAGGTGGGTTTCCGTCAAGGTGAAGAAAGGAGTGTGGATCGGGTTGGAGCTGATAGACTCTTGGAGGGCTTTCACTTTCCATCGCTGGTTGGTGATGCCAGGATTCATTCCTTGAATGTTAAGGAGGAATGCGTTGGAGATCGGAAGATTACTCTTCACAGGCGTGAGTGGCGACCTGATCGAAGGTAGTCTGGGACAGGAGGTGTTGGGTGATACTGGCGCTGCTGGGAGGAGAGGTGATGGTTTAGGGAAGCTGAAGGTTGTGGGGGATACAGCAGGTCCTGGTGCTGAAGGTTCTGGAGTACCTGTGGAGATCGTAGGAGATCGCGGAGAGAAGACTGGATCATTGCAGCAATGTCTTTGGTCAAGTCCGCTTTCATCGAGGAGTAGTGATTCCGAAAATCCTGGCTGGGTTCAGAAACGTGGGCTTCATTGAAGCTAACTGTCCGATTACGGTTCGCCCCGGCAGTGTTGGATGAAGTTGAGGAGTTACTCTCCGTCCTTTTCCTACCTGAACTGTATCCACTGTTGTCCCTAGTCTGGGATCTTTCTCTATTCTCGTTAGATTTGGGAGGGCGGCGGTTTTGCTTGGAAGAGGATGAGGATGAGGATGAGGATGATGTCTGGCGTCCTCTCTTGGCGTACTTGAGGTTCTTCTCGCCTGATATGTACCCTCTTGCACGGTTTGTTAAGACAGATACCCTGTTTCACAGCGTTCTGGCACAGCTGTGGGTGGAAATATGTGCATCTGTCATCGGCAATGTGGCAACCCCGTTCGCCACCTCTGCCGTTGTTCTGGAACTTGAAGCACCATGGGGGATGGTAGTTGGTGCAGCCTTTCCCAGATATACCGTGGGGGCAGTTCCCTTCGAGGAGTAAGGGACACACGGCCTTGGAGCGATCATATAGAAGTGTTTTTTTACTTTTGTGGTGTTCAACCACTGGTTCACGGACCGCCTCCGTGTTAGACTGAGAGGAAAGTTGGTCAGCTGCGGGAGAATTAGGGGCAGCTGTCTGTTCTGGTTCTGGAGGAGGAGCAACATGTATTGGAGGGATTTGAGATCCTAAGCAGGGGGGACAGACAAAGACTACCCCGGCTTCGGGATCTAATTCCGAGTCTGTGGCGATGCGAAGCAAGAATGCTAGTTTGCGCGTCGAAGCGGCGAAGTCCTCCAATAGACTAGCAAGCTAGGTAAGGGACCAACCCCTTACGTTAAATATGCGAACGAACCCTTGTATTGGTTAACGGGTGATACTTTTAAAATATTTGTTCCAACTCGGCGCGCGTGCTGGTAGGTTATAAACCTACAAACCCTTGGTTCATGGTTGTTGGTTAACATTTTGGTTAGTGAAGCCGTGAAGAACAGTTGCAATAACGGCGAGGGTTTATTAATTAGCAAAAGTTGTGTATCGTAATTATGGATTAGCGATGCACAAATGTTTTACAAGTATCACACGTTAACTCGGCGCGCGTCTTTCTATGTTGTACATTGTAGTGCAATGCACGTACCACTGGGCCAGCCTCACTGCAAAATATTGTGGATTGACACCATCAATTAAATGTTCATGGTTTACCTAACTATGGATCTTCGCGTACTATGTTGCTAAATTACTCTATCCAGAGCCCTTGCAGTGGCGCGCGAAAGCACATGGTTAGGTGAAGTTGCTACACGTTGTACTTGTATCATGTATACCTCCTATCTTTTCTTAGAAAAGAAACAAGAAAAGCCGCAGCGAAAAAAGGTATACAGCGTGTGTCAAGTACTACGTGACGCGCTTGTTTTGGTCTATTTAAATGGACTGATCCGGCGCGCGCTACTTCTAATTTCGAAGCTACGTGCGCGCTTCAAGAAGAAAGCAGCGCTAATATTTATTGAAATATTAGCCCAATAAAAGTGCTATGATGTAGCACGCACTGGGTTAGTCCATTATCAATGAACAATTCGGCCGCGCTTCGCGCACGAAAAGGGGTTTATAACGTTAGTAAGTAAGTAAGTAAGTAAAGATTATGACATAACATCATCACAAGTGTCTACAAAATATCATTGCACTAAATAAAAAAATAATTTAAATAAATATATTTTTCCATCAACATTAATAATTTATCAAATTCAATTTTATTAATAAATAAAATCTAATACATTATCTATAAATAATTCATTAATACTTCCCAGTGGAATAAAGATTTATAAAACGCTTCTTTGCCACAAAAGGATGAAACCACAGATATTCATTATGTGTCTCCTTATTGCTTAAATAACTGGGTCCTTCAATTTTCCCTAAAACTTCATTCGAAACATTCCAAAAATAAAAATCATTTACACTGTTTTTAGAAATCATTTCTTTTTTAAATCCTTCCAATCTAACTTTAAAGCTTAAAACTGTCGAGCAGTTCTTGACATCTGAAGGGAGTTTGTTCCAGTAAGGAATGACTCGCTCCGGAAGAAAAGAAGACTGGAGATTCTTAACTTTAGTTACACTCTTATTACACCTATTGGTTGAAACTAGATTAAGACCAGATCTGCTCATTCTGAACAAACCCGATCCATATTCAGTCAAACCACTAGTTACTTTAAAAGCTTCGATAAGGTCCCCACGTATTCGCCGCTCTGCCAGCGTTGTCAAATTGAGGATATCCAGTCTGCAGCTGTATGGAAGAGTACCCACCTCATCAATAAGACGGGTAAACCGCCTCTGGACGCTCTCCAGCTCCAAAACAGTCCCCCAACTTCCATGAGCCGCAACTGGATTCCACAATTGGACACAATACTCAAGATGAGGTCTTATCAAAGCTTTATAAATAGCTATCATTACAACCTTTTCTCTAATAATTAAGTTCCTTACAATCCAGCAGATCATACGATTTGCTTTAGAAATACATGCTTTTATCTGTTCATTCCAAAGCAAGGAGCTATGGGTAATAACCCCCAAATCTTTTTCCTGTGCAGATACTTCTAGTTCTACTCCATTTACAATATAATTCGAGTTAGGATTATTATTCAGATTAATATGGACTACTTTACACTTGGCAGGATTGAAGTTTAAGTGCCAAATACTCTCCCAAATTTCGAGTTCTAAAATATCATCAGATACACTTCTATGGTTAGCTGCATTACAAACTAACTTGAGATCATCTGCAAATAATTTAATCTTATTTTTAACATTGTCAGGTAAATCGTTTATATAAAGAATAAATAGCAAAGGACCCAATACTGACCCCTGGGGAACACCAGATAACACGTGTTTCACCTCAGACCATTGTCCTTCTACACAAACCCTCATGGTTCTGTCTGTCAGAAAGTCTTTTATAACATCTAAAACTTTTCCCTTGACCCCAAACCCCTCCAATTTAGATAGAAGTCTAAAGTGGGGGACTGTGTCAAAGGCCTTACTAAAATCAAAATACAAAAGATCGACAGGAGCACCTTCGTCTAAAATATCAAGAATATTATCAAATGTCTCTAAGAGATTAGATAGACAAGATTTACCCTTCACAAATCCATGCTGATGCTTTGAAATTCGTTCTTCTAAAAATGTTAATAAATGTGCCCTCACCAACTTTTCATACACTTTGCACAAAATACAAGTTAATGAGACAGGTCTATAATTTAAGGGATCAGATTTAACACCCTTTTTGAACAATGCTACAACAGATGCTGTCTTCCAAATGTCAGGCAGGACTCCTGTTTCTGAACACTTAATAAATAATTTAGTTACAGCTTCAACAAACTTTTCATCGTATGCTAAGGATTTCAACAACTTTGGATGAACGCCATCCGGACCAGAACTCTTAAAAACATTAAGCTTTAAAAGCTGCTTCTTGATATCAGAACTGCTAATTTCCATATCATCAATAACCTCTTTGTTATAACTCTCATTTTGGGGAAGAGGGCCAGGTGGTTCACGCACAAACACAGAACTAAAGGCACTAGCAAGTACCTCAGCTGACTCAGATGAACTATCTGTGCGTGTACCATCTCCTCTATCTAAAGAAACAACACTTGACTTAACTTGACGTTTATTACGCAAATACGAGTAAAAAGATTTACAATTCTGTTTTAAATTAGATGTAATCTTCTTTTCATAATTTACTTTAGCTTTAATTTCTGCCACCTCAAAAATATGCTGCTTGCTATTTGCACAGCTAAAGTTAATATCCGAAGGATTAATATCAAATTCAGCCCATGCTTTATCCTTGTTCTTCCTCATTCTTTTAAGTGAAGTTGTACTCCATGGCAACTTGACAGGTCTGTTGTCGAGATAAACCGAAGCAGCTGGGACAGCTGCAGCAACAGACTCCAATTTACCATGTAGTTCAACCCACATATCTTGAACATTATTTGTACAACTATAATCCCAGTCAATATTATTCATACTAAAGTTAAATAACTCTTCTGAGGAAATCTTACCCCAAATAGGCTTTAAAATCTTTTGTTTGGGACTTTTGTTAGTATTGGGCGAAACAACCAGTTCGACTAGTATCCCAACATGATCACTCTTGCCAAGCGGAGAAACGATCTTACAACCGTTGACAAGAGCATCATTTGTATACAAAACCTGATCAAGAAGACTCTCCTGGAGAGTATCTTTCACAAGCCGTCTTCTGGTTGTTTCGTTAGTAAAGTACCACGTCAAACCACTGTCGTTAAATAAATCAATATACTTTTGTTGAATCATTAAAACCTGATTCTTACTAGAAATACCACTATTTACACTACCAGTTTCCCAAGATACATTAGGTAGGTTAAAATCTCCAATGATAATGGTTTCAAAAACATTCTTTTCACTAGATATGTTCTTGATGCAAGATAATAACATATTATTCTGCTTTAAATTCAAAGAGGTAGACCTATAAATACAACAAATACTAATCAATCCACCAGAGGTATTGACATTAATAGCTAAAGAGTCTGGTGCTTTTAAAAATGAGCTCACTAATGAAGCATTACAACTGTTTTTAATATAAATAATAGAACCTCCACCTCCACTTATGTTGCTAGTGGAGTTATCGATTTTAAAATCTCTGTCTTTTCTAAACATACTAAAACCTTCAATAAAAATTTCAGCATCTAAAATATCACTATTAAAATGAGTTTCTGTAATGCAGA